GATAAAAGATAGTGGTGGACATTTCTTGTGAAACCAGACCCCGTGCTGCAGATGCAGACGTGTGTTTGCAGCTTTTTTTAATCACCCCTTGGCAAAGTAATTAGAATCACATTAATGCCTAATTTTCCCCTAATGAAGTTCCAAGAGGGAGTTTGGCTGCCTGTACTTAAAAATTCCACTAAGTTTTGAGGAAAGCTATTCGGTAAGCTTTTATCTGTAAGTTTTGGTGACAGTACATGATAACCAGTAAGGTGGAGGACTGATGGCTGTGTTTCAGGAAATACTGTGAGTAGTTCAGTTTTCTGGGGAGGAGAGGGTTGATTTGGGTTGGTTTTTTTTTTTTTTAACAAGTCTTCATACAAACTCAGCTTAAAGCTTATTAAATTCCTTTCTAGTTCTAATTAGGCAATATCTCAGTGATATTGACTACTAATAAGCTACTGATTACTCTTTGAACTGATTGCCTTTTCCAGCATTCCTGAGGTTTAAAGGGCCACAAAGCACAATGAAAGCTTAATTCAAAATTTTACTTTTGCATGTTGAACTTGAAATTCAAGTACATTTACGAATTAAAAGTACATTATGGGTTGTTTTGTTTTTTTTTTTTTAAATAGGACTTTCATCTGATGCCACGGTGCTGACACCCAACACGGAGAGCAGCTGTGACTTGATGACCAAAACCAAATCAGTGAGTGGGAACGATGACAGCACCTCCCTGGATTTAGAGTGGGAAGATGAAGAAGGTATTTATCCTGCATTTCAGCTCCATCCTGAACTCAAAAGTTAAAGATGTTGACAGTTTGAGCTATGTTCATTGTAAATTTGTTGTTTTCAAAAGGGAAGGCGATTTAAAACTTGTTTCTGATGCCATTTCTGACAAGCTTGTAACGGTTAAACTGTAAAATTATTTCTACAGAGAAAATTCCTTATTTTGATAAATGTGGAGGTAGCACTAATAAATGAATTCATTTATTTGCATACTCCAGCAAATAAATGAATTAGTTTCCCTGCCTTTTGTGGAACTGACCTGTAAACTCCTGACAAAAGTGATGGTAAAGAAATACTGCCCTCTCGTGAGCTAGGAGCAGAAGGAAGAGCTTGTTTTGTTCTTCCTTTTAAAATGTGGTAGAACATATTTAAGTCAGGAGTCTGACTTAAATATTTTGGGAAAAACCCTTATTACTTGTACTGTTAACATTCACTGGGGACTTAGGTCTGCATTCCAAGGCGTATCCCAGCTGTCCTTATTGCTGCTGTTACAGGTGTTTCCTGTATTTCCTCATTGTTACCAGTACTTTCTCTTTTATTTACTAACCCTGCAAAAGCTCTTTGTTGGAAGTTTATCTGAAGTGTTGAGACCCCCACTATTGAAAGGCTCACCAAAAATTAGCAAGGGTTTGTTTCTTTTAGCCAATCTGTAGGTGATTTTTTTTATTTCACCTCAAGAACGTCTGGATGTCTTTGAGCAGTTTCCAGAACCATATTTTGTATTATTTTGTCTGGAATTAAATATCCCTTTCCCATACAAACCCAAGACCTTTCCTAGACCATTGAACCCCAGTACCTGTCCAAATTTCACCTTTGTTTCTTCTAGCAGAAACATAAAAGTTAGCTGAGCACTCACAAGGATGTGTTTCTCACACACGTGTGTTAAATGCCAGGCATGAACAGGATGATTCCGGTGAGGGAACGCTCCAAGACGGAGGAGGACATCCTGCGGGCAGCGCTGAAATTCAACAGCAGGAAGGCAGGAAGCCACCCAGCCTCAGCCTCTGACGATTCCAACGGGCTGGAGTGGGAGAATGACTTTGTCAGCGCCGAGATGGATGACAACGGCAACTCCGAGTACGCCGGCTTCGTCAACCCCGTGCTGGAATTGTCGGCCTCGGATGTCAGGCTGTCAGATTCCGAGCGCCAGGACAGATAGTGACCATGTCTGCACGGCCCCTGCCTGTGACCAAATGCTGGAAAGGGAAATGGAATGTGCAAAGCCAATCTGCTCTTTTGTAACCCGCTTCCCTTCTTCTTGCGCGCGGATCGGCGAGGAACGGCAAGGACTCGCTGTCTGAAGGAATTCAGAACTAAGTGCAATTTTATCATCTACCTTCTCCACTTTTGTGAAAACTGGGATGATTCTATTGTGTATATTTCTGGATATCTGGATTTAATATAAAATTATCTGCACTAATTGAAGCTTTGTAGCTTGACTTATCTATATTTTAACTTGCCTTTTTTTTTTTTGGGGTGATGTTTCTATTGATTTTGTTTTGAAATTCATCATTGGCCTAATATTTATCTCAGAATAAGTCTCGTATAATTTATTTAATACTTGAAGATAGAGAAACAATTTTAAAATATTTTTACTTCTGGTCCGTGCTTTTTGTCTCGCTCTTCAGCTGCTTAGAGGGTGCAAAAGTAAGAGCTGCAAAACGGATTTGACACGTGGCAAATTGCAGATTTTCCTGTTTAGCTTAAAGTCTTCCTTGTCTTGTGTTGTCCTTTTTCCGTTCACTTTATTTTTTCAATTGCTTTATGCCAAGCACGGTTAACCTCAGTGAACATAGTAAAACTCATCAGGTTAGGTAAGATATTGTCTTGTATAACATGCCAGACTTGGTAAGTGCGTGCTAGATAGAGAAACAAAAATAAAGTAAAATACAAGTTCTCTACGTGTCAATAAAGCGGGAATTTTAACCAGTCGAGAACTGGGAGGACCAAAGTCTTGTTTTCCCTGGACAGACCAACCTCTGTTGCTACACGGTCCTAAAATTCCTCAGTTGTGGAAAAGTTATAATTCCACTGGACCAGAACAGTTATGGAAAAGCAACACTCAGTGAGCCAGCTGGGGTAGGGATGATGGTGCTGCTGCTGGGGTGGGAAGAACAAGAACCTAAAGACTGAATTTCTATATCTGCATTTTGAAAAGGAAGAAGAAAAATTCATGTTTTAACAGTGTGTTGAAGTGCTCTGCCTTTCCTGTGCCTCTGAAGTGGGTGGTTAATCCATGAAATCCATGGAGGTGTTCAGTGACTGCACCGCTGGCGTCCTGTGCTGTGTGGTCTCCTCCAGTATTCCCTGTAAATCTTACTTTTTAATAAGAGAACCTGCAGAATACTTGCAGATCTCAAGCTTTCCCCAAAGTTTCAAAGCAAAGCCATTCTGCTCTGCCATTATTTTGTGTAGCTGTCTCGTTTTTCCATGGCGAAAAGGGTGACAGGGCTTAACTTTGTTTTGGAGTAAAAGGAACAGGTTGTGATAAGAAATGACCCTGCGCTGTCACCATCAGAACTGAATTTGTTGGTGAAAGTTGTGTCACTGGTTGAGATCATCTGAAACTATTTGGAATATTTGGGTCATTACAGCGTGGATAAGGAACAAAAATACTGCACACTGGGATGAAATATGTACAAACAACCTGAGAGAACAGATAAATCCTATTGGTGACATTCCATCTCTTCGTTTCAGTTGTAGCTAAGTCACTGGAAATATTTTCATGCCATTATTTATATTTGCAATACTTGTAATGAGCTTTAAAGATCTGTACACATCAAATGTATATTTTGGGTTTGGCCTAAAGCTACTGCTGTGTGACTTCTCCTGGACCTTTCTTTGTAATATATTCCTATGGGAAGGAAGGCAACTTCCTCAACATGTACATAACATGTTTTTTACCTGCTGAAACTGCCACCTCCCCTGCAGCGGTCACTGCTTTTCCTGGCCAGTGAACATGAGGTGGCCTTGTCCTGACCATGCCTTGAGGAAGCCAATTAGCTGATAGTCCTGCCCTTAGGATGAACAAGCATCTAGGAAAAAGAAGGCTGACTCCAGCTTTTTCAGTGATGGGCATGTTCTGTAGCCACGGTTCACGATAACCCGTGCGGCGCTCAGTGCGCCACGCTGAGTGACTCTGAAGCGATGCTCCGTATTTGTGGATATTTCAGAAACTGAGAGATTCTATAAGCAGCTCATATGTGAAACAATTCAAGGGTACTGTAAAATGCATATCTGTACAAAATTTAAAAGTCATTAAAATTTTCAGCAAGTCTTACATTTGGCAGTGGTGTATCTGTTGCTGGGTTTGTGGTGGACCGCGTCAGAGCCCTGCTGAATCCCACAGTGTCCCTTTTGGGGACCTGTTGCTTTAGAAGGGAAGCTCTAAACAAGCTGCAGTAACAGAAGACCTGAGGAATTTGGAGCATAGAGCCCTTCTCCTGTTGGAAATGAGCAGCTGTACCCTCCCACTTCAAAGGTGAAATAACCTTCCTGGTGTAAATTCGCTTCTGCTGGGTGGATCAATGTAGTGATAGGAGACAGTTAATTTTTTAATGTGTGTTTTACATGGTTGGCTCTTAGCTCAGGCAGATACAGCTGTGCAAGGGATTGTTGTTTGGAAACCACAGACTGGTTCCAGGGGTGGAAAACACAGCAACATGACGAGATGGACAGACAAATCCTACATAAGACTGTCTTTGAGTTTCATTGCCCCTCCCATGGCTTTCCCTCGCTCGTGGTTGGTTGCCTGAACCTCAGCTGTCCCTCCCCTCAGTTATAATTATGGTTTTCTTGGAATGATTAATGCTGAAATGCATCCTAATATTTAAGGATGATAAAATAGGTAACTCCTCCCCAGTGTGTCTTTCAAGAGAACTAATGTACTTGACAAAATTAAAAAAGAGCCAAATGCCAATGAAAAGCTGAGCCCCTGACAAAGAAAAACTTGACTGAAACAACCTGACAAATACTTACAAGACAAGAAAATTATTAGAGAGATTTGGATAGAGGATAGAGGTAGAAAACTTCCTGAAAGTATTTAAGTAAATTCTGACCTTGGAGAAATGGCACTTTTGGAATAGTGACAGTGAGTCTCTTACCTGGATGGTCCTGGAAATCATTTTATTCTCCAAAAATTCTTTTAGATTGCAGCTGTGTAATAGAGCAAATCCTTACTAGGGAACAAAATGCTTTTATTACAAAATTTATTTTTATAGACCATGATCATTGATGCTACATGTTTGTCTACATCACAAGCAAAAGTAACAAGTTAACTTGCAAAAAATATATACACATATATATATATATGTCCAGTAAGTAAAAATAAAAAAAAAAAACAAACCTTGCTTTGAAGCTAATAAAAACATAAAAGGACAAAGTGTTTCTAAGTTGCAAAATCTGTCAAGTTACAACCTAGGCTTGCAAATACTGTTTTGGAGTTTGGTGTCCACAGCAAAGCAGAAACTATAACATGCAACAAAACATTGCGTCACCCCTTGGCTGGGACCGAAGCCCTGCTGTGCACACTCTGTTTTAATGCCTGTGAAATATCCCTTCGAGGCACGTGGCCACGCTTTCTGGCATTGAACCTGCTGCCATGGATTTGAGTGACCCCCTGTCTCCCACAGGGCATCGGAGAGCCCTCAGGCCTCAGTGAAGACAAGAATCCATTTCTGTGGAACAGTGCTCTGGAATGCCTGTGCTGAAAACACCAAGAAGACCGATGTGCAGCAGTCAGTGAGCAGCACCAAGAACAGCGGGCTGAGGTGAGAGCTGTCTACACTGGAAGCTGTGCAGGCCGCAAAACCTGACCCAGCCTCCTTCTCCCCGCTATCACAGCTCATTTTCATCCATCTCTGTGGGGCTTTTTCCTTGGGAAAGAAAATAGGAAGGAGAAACACCATTCTCGGGTATAGGTTGCAGGGATGGCAGGCATGGCAGGCACCTTTCTTGTAGGATTGGTGCTTCAGCCAAGTGTAAGTGAGTCTCAAAATAATCCATGGCCTCCCCTTCTTGAATCTCTGCTAGGATCTGGTAGTCCCCGAAAGAGATGATGCACTTCCAGGGCAGGTCGGTTTTGTTTAAGTAACCCAGTTCTGTTTGGTTGACGGTCAGTTTTGTTTTCTTGCTCAAGTTCTTTATCTCAAAACCATATTCCGAGGCCTGGAGCTTCCTGTAGAACTGCAGGGAGAACTGGATCCGGGAGACGCGCGTGTCCATCAGGTTGTAGCGGCAGACGCTGGAATCGCGGCCAAACTTGGCCACGTCGTCCGCCCTGACCTGCTCACGCTTGCAGAAATTCAGGCAGCGGAACATCATCTTCTCATCCTGGCCAGGGTGGTAAAAGGTCAGGTGGAGGCACGTCACTGTTTCTTCTGTTTCGGCTTCCTCGAAAGAGGTCATGGTGGAAAGAGTCCTCAGAACAAGAAAACGGGGAAATCACGGCACGGAATCACCAGCAAATCGGTTTCACCGTGGCATTAAAATACTCCCTGCGCTGCTCTACGCACCTTCCAGGTGACTGGCTGACAGTAAATATGATGAAAGCACGGGAGGGGGAGCTCAGAAGCCACGACTGGCCATTGCTGCCAACAAGCTCTTCACGAGGATCTCACAGGCAGGTTTATCTTTGCAAGAAATAAGTCTTTTAGCAGTAAGAGTTACTCGGTAGACTTAAAATGGAGTTAAACGGTACTGGCTGGGTCTGTGCGCTCTGCTCTCTGTGTGTCCTGTGCCTGGAAGGTACCAAATGACTTTTACCAGCACGCTGTCTGTAGGCAGTGGTAATTCAAGTGTGTATAAAGCACTCCTTAGGCTCTTGGGTCCGAACTGACCTCTTGCACAGAAGAAGTGCTTAGAAGTGACTGCTGTGACAGCATAAAAAGTGAATGCAAAAGCTGGACTATCCATGAGACCTAAAAGAGGAATTGTCACCACCTCTAGCTATTTCCTCATTGTCTGTTGGAAAATCCCAGCTCTCTGCTGCTGCAGAAGTGCTAAAAAAATTTCTTTTCTTGGGTTTGGTAGTTTCATGTTGTTTTTTTAAGCCCTTCACATGCAGCACAGAGACCACATACTTATGAAACAAATTCTGTTCCCAAGCCTGAGCGACTGCAGTGCATCCTAATAAAGCCTGAGACAGCTCAGGAGAGGCTGTCATCTGGTTCTCTGAAAGCAAGGCCACTGTCTTCCCGCACTACAACTGAGTCTTTTAAAGAAAAGTCTCGCTATTTGAAAGTAGAAACCAACAAATGAGTTCCCAGTTACTCACCAGAGAAACATGTGAGCAGCCATTTAACTGGTATCACACAGTGCAGATGTTTCTACATCCAGACTGCAGTAAGCTCCCAACGTGTCTCACACGGATCTGGAGCTCACCAGCTCCATTCAGAGCTTTATGAGTAGCTGAATCATCACTGCAATTAAGTGATGATTGTGTTTTGTGATGATGGAGTTGACTTGTGTTTTTTTACACGCTGCACACAAACACCAAGCATAGCGAAGGGTGGTGTATCAGCGCATCATTTTCTGGGTGAGACCTCAAAACTGCTTCCTTTCCACCTCTGACACAAAACCAGCCACGCTTCTGACACAGCAGGTTACTGAAGTAGGCTGCAGCGGCACAGATGATGAGAGAAACACGGAATTTCCAGCAGAGCTCACTTTAAAACAAGCTAGGGAATGTCATCTGTGCTTTTTGGCAGGAATACAGACAGACACCCTGATAGCAGGTTATTCCTTTGCCATCTGTGAGACAAGCTGTGGTGGCACCATTATCAATCCCTCCTCCTTGTAGCTTCCCCAACTCTGGGATGCTGGAAGCAGCTCTGTGAGCCAGGAGGGGCTAGTCCCCGTGTCTAGCTCTGCCCTTCCTTGTTTTGCACCAGTAAGGGGATATTACAAGATGTTATCTTTGGTGAAGGGGAAAACCGCTGAGCCCTTTCACTTTGTTTGCAGTTCAGCCCACAGAGACACTTGTGACTTTAGTTCATATTAGTGAGTTTTACACATGGCTACATTAATTAAGAAAGAATTTTCCCATTTTCACCCATTGCTTCGGCAGCACCCACCGATGATCCTGGATGATCTCGGCAGCTCCCACAGCCCCCGCCTCAGATCCATGATCGCCTCTGGCATTCCCAGCACGGCTGCCCAGTCCTGCCTTAAAGGTTCACCGAGGTTCAACATACTGAACATTCCTTCATAAATGCTAAAGGAGTTTCTACTTACTAGACTGTATTGCAATGCCTGGGGAAAGAAACTTTCTGTAGATTTCTCCCGCAGCTCTGAGGCAGCCACTGCCCTGCTGCTGTCCGCGCCTTCGCTGGACTCAAGCCGACCGTGATCTCACCTCATCCTCTCCTACGGGGGATGGAGTGGCATTATCCCCACTTCCAGAGGCAGGAGAGCAACGCGGAGGAGCCCTGAGAACATGGGCTCCAGCCCCGGCTCCCAGAGCAGGCTCGCTGCCACCTCCCCACCCCACAGCACGGCCAGCCCGGGATCCCCCGGCCGAACCCGCCGGGCGACATCCCGGTCCGCCCGCTGATCTATCCCGTCCCCTTCCTTCCTTCCTTCCCCTCACGTCCGCCCGGCCCGGCCAGGCCTCCTCACCTGCCGGGAGCGGGGCTCCGGCGCCTGCCGAGGGCTCCTGCGGCTCCTCACTCCCGGTAATTGCTGCGGGAGGCGGCGGGAAGCGCTGAGGGGAGGCGCTGAGGCGGGAAGCGCTGAGGGGGAGGCGCTGAGGCAGGGGACGCTGAGAGCATCGCGGGGCCGGAAGTAGAACTGTTTTTAAAAATAAGGGGGGAAAAAGTAGAAAAAAAGAGTTAAATTATTTATTACAGTGAATAACTCTAAAGGAATAGCCACAGGTCTGTCCGGGGTTTACGGGGCTATCTGAACATGTGTTCAGAGCCGTGTCAGGGATCACAAGTCAGATCCCGGGCTCAGCTCTCAGAAAAGATAATTTCGGTTTTACCTCCCAATTATTTTACAATATTTGATTGTTTGCTTAAAGCAAACATTGCACCGCCTTTGGGAAATAACCCAATTTTTCCCTGGCCTATGGTCTAAACTGATCTGAAGACTTTTTCTTACTTCTATTTTTTTTTTCTTCCCTTTACAAATCCTGCCACAGCCCTGGATTCTTCTTCATCCAGCGGCTTGATTTTTCATATTCATCTGTATTTACTCCCCAGCATAGAACAAGTGGCCAAGCAAACCTGTTCCTTTGGAATCCAGATCCCAGATGTTCCGTGTCCCCCCTTCCCTTTGCCTCCACAGCTTTGGGACTTGGAAGTAAGTACTGAGGGCTCGATTGCTTTGGCACGGGCGGTGAAATACCGTGTTGGTTCATAGAAACTGCTTTTCACTCGTGGGTTCTTTGTATATCTTCAGCAAACAGGTAAATGGCTTGTGGGCTGATAAGTTTCTTTGTAGTTCTTGTGGAATAATTTGTATCTGTATGCAATCTAACACAGTTGTTCCATGGGCTCTTCTCCCTGACATCATAAAAAAAAAAAAGGGGCTTAAACTGCATTCTGCAAGAAGTTGTGTTGAAAAACAGGGAAAGAAAACAGATTATTCCAACTTTCTCCCGCAGATGAAGGCCTTTTTTACAGCAGGCAGGGCTGGGCCTGTGTGCTCACACACAAGAAAAATGAAATACTTTGGTGCCTTCTGGAAATTGCGCAAGTCTGCTATTTATTGCATCTGTTCATGGTTATAATTCCTGTCAGCCCTTTGTTTCCGGAAACAGCCTGAGTCCCAGGTCATGAGACAACTTTCCTGATTAGGATTATTTTGATACTTGTAACTATTGAGGTATGTACGGACCTTTCATTTTTTTTCCCTAGGATTGTGTAACGTGAAATTAACTGCATATTCCTTCATTGCTTTACGATTTAAGTATAGCTCTGTGTGGTTTTGTACAGGGGAGGGCAGGAACTGGATTTACAGCTTCTCCCTGCAATAAGTTTCTAGTCAGTTGAAACGCTGCCAGCCTCAGGAAAACAACTCCAGGTTTGCCCTTTATGAGGAAAAAAAAATAAAATGCAGGCACTCTGTGCCTGTGGGGTTCTTGGGTGATCATTCTGCTAAAATTGTTCTGTGCTGTAGAAGAGGTCATTCCAGTACTACAATAACTTCTTCTTTTAGTTGAAATTTCTTCGGTCGAAAGCGAAACTGGGAATAAATGTGGTGTTTGGGCTAATTTAGGATTTTTCAGGCTGGAAGTTGGAGGTGGTTTGACATGGCTGTGATGGTGCATTGCTTTTCTGACAGCTGATTCCTGTAACTCCAGAGCCTACGTCAGCAAATCTGGGAAATGGAAAAATATAAAGAACTTTCATGTTGCTGTCAGTCACAACTGGCTCAGGAAGCAGGAGTCAGTGAGGGGAAAAGTGTTTCTTTCTCTTTCTGGGATGTTCATGGTAGGTCAGAAGAGTTATAGGAAGTATAGTCTCTTAATCACCTGTGTGACTGGTTATGAGTTGGGAACGCTGTGATGACATTTCTTGGACACTTGGGAAAAATGTCCTATATAATTCTGTGTCTGTTATGGCACAAAAACCTTTCTGTGGACATTTGAGACCAGCAGCAGTCCAGACCAGCCTGAAACTTTCTCCTTGTCTCTGCTACTTAAATTTACATGGTGAAAGTATCCTCACTCTGCTGAATCAACAGGAAGTCTGACCCGATTTCTGCTGTGCTGAGGTTTCCACAGTTCTGCCCTTCCCTCCCAAGGTCAGATTTTACACCTGGTTATCCAAGCTGTCCATGTGGTGCTGGGATTTGCCAGTGGGTTCAGGGGTGAAGGGCGACAGCACCTCTAAGTGTTGTGTGTGAGTATAATTCCCGTGGTTTTTTGGTCACCAGCGCTCCCACTCACCGGCACAGCTTGTCTGTAGCGTCGCCAGGTGAACATGAAAGCGGGTGCCGTGAACTGGTGACGCCTCTTGTGCCAAACACCGCAATGGGTTTGCGTGCACCGAGGGTTGGTTTCGAGGCAGAAATCTGCAGGAGTGCTGCCTTTCTGCAGGGCTGGCTCTGGGCACGGGAGGACGCGAGCCGTGCGTTTCCGCGCCACACGGGTGACAGCCGTGACCTGGTGAGCTCAGAGAGCCCGAGAAGGGAGCAGTAGGTGGGTAGTTGTCCCCCCCAGCCCTCTCCATATCCCAGGTGTGTCTCCCGAGGCACATGAGCCCTGTTTGCTGGCTTTCCCTGGCGTTGAATGCCTCACTCGTGTCTTGTCACCCGTCACGTGGGCCTGGGCAGGATGCTGCTGTACCCACCCTGTCCCAGGGCTTGCCCTCCCGGGATGGCACAAGGGTGACTCGAAACCGTCCTTCAGGGACCTGCCAAGTCACTGAGGAGGAGGTGAGTGAGAGCTGATTGATTTGGAGCCATAAACTGCTCACAGCCCTTTTCTCGTTCCTAGCCACCCAAGCACTCAGAGCACAGGAGTGGGAGCCAGTAGATGGCAATGTGTGACCGGACACGGGAAGACAACGTTTGTTTTGGGGGATTTTTGTGTTTTGTGGTTATTAGTTGTTGGTTGGGGGCGGGAGTGGGCGGAGAGTTCTTTCCTTTTTATCTTTATTTTTCATTTAAAGTCACAAATTTAATTTTGGTAGTGCAAGAGTTGTCGAGGTACTTGCAAGTTAGCGATAATAATGGCAGTGATAACTTCCAAGGGTTGGGAAAGGCCCTATGGAGTGTGCAACAACCTGTAGTGAGGTTCTGCAATGAGTTGTTGTTACCGTGCAGCGACCCAGGGCCTCATATGCAAGCAGAAAAGAAATGGGCCCTTCTCAAAGACAGGTGTACTCCGGGGATATCCCGTTGTATTCCACTGGATGTCAGTGTGAGAGGGAGGAGAGATGCATGGGGAGGATGTGTGCTCACTGAAGTTTTAGCTCCCAGTGCCATGAACAGCTCCACTCCATAAGCTGAGAGGAGATCTTCCAAAGGAGGAAGAGACAGCACAGTTCCCTCTGTTTATTTCCTTCTTTGCTCCTTGTTTACTCAGGAAAAAGAACTCTTTCTCTTCTCTTTCCTTCTCATCTGACCTGGAGAAACTGATGAGGAATCTCACCTTGACTGCTGAGGAGAAGTATTCCTTACAAGATGGAATTTGTTTATGCCACTTTCCAAGTTCTCATTTTCATTCCTCATCGTGATCTGCCCTTGGTCCTCCTTTAGAGCCTCTCTGGCTTCTCCCTTTCTCCTCCTTCTCAGTTTCTCTTCCATCTTCCAGCCCCTCCTGCTCTCTGCTGCTCTTCCCTCTCACCATCCTCCTGATTATTTTTCCTATTCCCTCTGCTGCTCCCTCCGCCTTTTGTTTCTTTTTTCTGTGAACCCTTTCTCTGTCTGCTGCAAAGGAAAAAATAATTTGTGCAGCTATTTTGACAGCGAGGAGGTTGAACATTGCCTTCACCAGGCCCCACATTTTACTGTGGAGGCTGAATCCACTCTCCTTGTCTGGTTTAATACCATTCAGACAGAGAAAATTTCATGTGCACGGTGCAGGCTGAGCAGAGCCAACCTTTTCATTTCCCTTCATTGAACAAAGGAAGTAATTTTGAGCAATTAAAGATAATATAAGCTGTATTTTGCTTATACGTGGCAGGACCAGAGACTATAGTGATCTTTTGTTGTTTTGCATTTTTATTTTCCCCCTTTCAATCTGTGTAGATGTGAAGGTGTTGGAGATTCCAACACATGGTGTTTGGCAATAAAAACACAGTTCCATTATCTCAGTTTATAGCATTCAAGGGCGCCCAGCTGTGAGCAGTGCAGCCTTACAGGTACCTACAGGACCATTTCTCTCTTTTTCTTTCCCAGATTGATATATCCGTGTCCCAGACTACTCAAGCAGCTTCCTTCCTGCTCAGGTAAGCAGGTATCTGCTTCACCTTCACCTTTGATTGTTCTGGAAGCCCTCCCTTGGAGAAGTTGTTGTTGAGGTTTAGGAAAAAAAGGATTTTTCTTACTGTGGGCACATAAATTGGTGCTGAGGGGTGGTGAGGGCAGCCGGGCACCTCTTCCTTGTTTGCAGCCCCTTGCCCGGGACTCCAGGCTGTCCAGAAAGTCCTGGTGGTGGAAACAGCAGGATTTCACAGCACAGGGAGCACCAGTTTATGGCTCTGTGTATGGTCTCACAAGGGAACACTGTTCAATAGGCTTCAAAGTGATTCAGCCCTGGCATAACCGTGGCTGTGGCCACATGTAATATAGCCTGTAGCTCTTTAAAGAGGATTAGCCTTAGATCAGGGACAGCATTCATTGCTGGATCTCATGTAAAGTAGAATATGCTAATGGAATGGAAATGTCTACAGCAAACATTGCATAATATTGGGGACCTCAAAACTGAGCATTGTGTCTTGGTATCTCTGCTGGGAGGCAAACTTTCATATTCTGGTTGTTATTTCGAGAAAAACTCAAGTTTATAGTATCACCACAAGCTCTCTGTGGAAAGTCAAGATCTAGTTTGCAGTTTCACTAGCAAAGTTAAAAAGATAGCAAAAAGCACTTGAAGGTAACTTTTCAAACATTGTTGTGCTTTAATGACGCCGTAGTTGTCCAGCAGAGACAAAACCCACCCCAGCTTAAAATATCTTCATTTGGGTTTTCTGCAGCAGGCACAGGCTTTGTTGGATCCGGTGTTCTCTTCCCATCTGTTGCTTTAAACACCATTTTT